TTATTTGTGCTTATTTTAAGGGCTATAACATTGCAGAGGTCTCCGAGTACAGTGGAACGTCCGTGTTAGAGCGTAGTCAAACTAGAGTGTCATTCGACGGAAATTTGCCAGCTTGCTAATTATCGTTTTGTCATGTTACATTTTAATTTTTTAAAACGTTTCTAATGGTGAGACAGTATGTGTTGAGCAGATAATCTGGAAAAAAAAGTTCATGCTGCTCCTAAAGGATATAACATTGCAAAAGCTTCCGAGCGGAGTGGAACGTCCTTTTAAAAGCGTAGGCATGCCAACTAGCGTTTTATCAGGCTGCAAAATCGTTTTTTATAATGTTTATAATTGTGAGGCAGTGCAATGTCTATTTATTAAGCAAGTTATCTGTAAAAAATGTTGTGCTCTTCCTAAAGGATATAACATTGCAAAAGCTTACGAGCACAGAGGAACGTCCGTTTAAAAGCGTAGGCAAATTGATGAGTGTCATTCGACGGAAAGTAGCCAGCGTGCCAATTATCGTTTTCTCAGGCTACAAATTCGTGTTTTTAGTGCTTCTCATTCTGAGACAGTGAAATGTCTATTTATTAAGCAAGTTATCTCTAAAAATTGTTGTGCTCTTCCTATAGGATATAACATTGCAAAAGCTTACGAGCACAGAGGAACGTTCGTTTAAAAGCGTAGGCAAATTGATGAGTGTCATTCGACGGAAAGTAGCCAGCGTGCCAATTATCGTTTTCTCAGGCTACAAATTCGTGTTTTTAGTGCTTCTCATTCTGAGACAGTGAAATGTCTATTTATTAAGCAAGTTATCTGTAAAAATTGTTGTGCTCTTCCTATAGGATATAACATTGCAAAAGCTTACGATCACAGAGGAACGTCCGTTTAAGAGCGTAGGCAAATTAATGAGTATCATTCGACGGAAAGTAGCCAGCTTGCCAATTTTCGTTTTATCGGGCTGCAAATTCGTTTTTCTTTTTATAATGTTTATAATTGTGAGATTCTGAAATGTCTATTTATTGAGCGAATAATCTGTAAAATTTTTGTGCTGTTCTTAAAATAAATAACATTGAAAAAGTGTACCAACACAGTGAGACGCTTTTTTAAAAGCGTGGGCAAATTTATGACTGTCGTGCGAAGGAAAGTAGTCAGCATGCAAATCATCGTTTTGTCATGTCACAAATTATTTTTTGTAGTATTTCTAATTGTGAGATAGTGTTATACCTGTAAAGAAGAAAAAGGCACGATCACTGGGATGGCAGATGTATGAGTATGAGCTTTGGCTTCCCACAAGCCGACATAGTCGGGAAATAATGAGAGGACAGCAAGCAATGGCATGGTTTTGTAGTCCGGCTACGACTAAAACGGGGTGAATGAATAGGTTGCATTAGTGAATGGTCCACGCTCACGCCGTCTGACTATGTCGTATCTGCGGGCGTCCTTGGCGTTATAGCGTGCGGCCCGGACACGGTATAGCGCGTCCTTGGCGTTATGGCGTGAGTAGCTGGGCACAAACTGGGCCGAGTTCTTGGACGCGCCATCGGAGGGCAAAATATTGAGGCGCTATCTCTACATGCCTGTTGATGGATTTAGATTCTGACATCCAGACCGCCAGTAGTTCTCGTCCTGTCTTATTACCGGCGTGTGCCATTGTCCGCGTGTCCGTGGAGTCGAATTCGTGGCCTTCTTCGAAAGTTTGGGTAATGGTCTGGGACAGTGGGTCGCCTTTACACACTACCCGTTTGTGCTCCGTCCGTCGCGAGCTTAGTCGTCGTCCTGTCCGCCCTGTATAATGGCAAGAACAGTCGCGACACTTATTTGTGGCGAAGGATATAAGATTGCAAAAGTTATACGAGCTCAGTATGACGTCTGTTTAATAGCGTAGGCAATTGTGTGAGTTTTGGTCGACGGAAAAGAACCAACATGCCACTTGTCGTTTTCTCATGTTAACAATTTGTTTTTTACTGATTCTAATTGTGAGATAGTGAATTTTCCATTTATTCAGCAAATTATCTGTACGTTTATTCGTGTTATGTTGAAAGGATATAACAGTGCAAAAGTTTACAAGCACTTTGTAACGTCTTTTTGATAGCGTAGTTAACTCGATGATTGTCGTTCGACATAAAGTAATCAATCTGTAGTTCGCAAACACCAAATCCAAGTGTCACGGCAGTTTGATTTCAAAATTACTCAGGAAATTAAAAAAAAACGTATTTTTGAATCCGATAAGTGACCCTCTTTCAGATATATGCTTCAAAGTAAACGTTTGTTCCTGCTAAATGAGTACAAGAAATAAGATTGCAGTGTATGCTTTCTAAAAAATCTATGCTTGCATTTATAAGAGCATAAAAATGCATCAGTAACTTTTATACTACTTTAGTCTGGGTGCCTTCAGAGGTAGATGATTTTCTTCAGACGGATTGTATACAGCATACATTTTGGAAATCTCTACTTCCAGTGCAAAACGGGTTGGATTCAAGATTATTCTGGAATTGAACAAAATGTGTTGAAACCCAAAAGTAGGCTTTATTGAGGCATAACATTAAAAAAGCCTTGATTTTCTGCCGAAGAAGTACCATAATTAATATATTAGTTTGGTTAAATTTGACGAGAGTCATGGGTACTACTTAAATACAGCCATTCCGACGTGATTACAAAATCTTCTGATCGGGCTTTATGATACTTACGTCCACAGACATACTTAGTCCTTTTGAGCCGATTAAAATTTTACCTGGACTCTGAATGCAGTCCTCTTAAAGTCCAACCTCCGATGTACGTATAGTTATTCTAGTTGGTTACAGTGTCGTGCCGGGATCAACTGAAATTGATGCTGCGCAGGTCTGTTTCATTAAATTAATTCACGATTAAATTGTCACTGGAACTTATTTCGGTGGCAGTGGCAATTAAACCGTCGGGCATCTTGAAACCTATTCTCAAATTGCATCATGCATGAGGGAATGCTACCACTTGACCGGTTTCTGCTTGAATAGTCTATTCTTAAAGCTCATCTTCCATTACCAATCGCGCACAGTCTGGATAAATTCGCGTTTGTTTTCATGAAAGTTGCGTTTTCTTTAAATCTGGTGCGTGAAGCAATAGGGCATTTCGGTTTTTAAGTCTCTGTAATAAATCTATTTTACGATATTTCTTGAGCAATTTATCCCCTTACTTACTTATACTACTCATAAAACGTACGGCATGTATTTTTGTCAGCTTTGCTAAACAATAAGCGGTTTATTCATCTAGGGGGGTACGTCATTTCTTCGCAGAAAATATATATTTTGCAAACTGAAAACCACAGTCGTTTAGTCGTAGAGCACTGTTTCGAATGTAATACGGGTAATGCTGCACTTTTGTGATAGCCGACGGTTACTATTTTGTCGGTAGCTCTTGTTAAATACTGCAGTTTGCACTGTCCCGGTTGCACATGGTCACATGCTGTCGCTGAGGAAGGAAAGGCGTTTATTATTGCCGGCAAAGACTAGAGAGTCGGCCTTATTAGTCGTCGTCAACTCTCAGTGGTGCAACATCTGAGGCTCGATCTCGCGAAATTTTCGATCAAAGTCTAATTCTCTAACCATTGACTCACGCGCTCATTGCCTTGTTGGTTTAGTTCGGGAGATCTTGACAGTCGTTGAGGACCGTGCGCCGGCTTCTCTGCC